CCGGTAAGAATCCGGCATAACCCTCGGCTCCCCCCGGAGCCGGGGATATCTATGAAGATTTCCCCATGTTAAAAGAAAAAAAGTATATACGTAGATATTGTTAAGTATTATTGCATCATATAAATAATTTCCATTTGTTATAAGTATTCACTATAACGAAAAGTAGAACCATTTTCCTTCCATCTTATGGCATGAATGTTTATTCACCAATTGCAGAAAAAATGTCAATGTATTATCGCCTCTCGAGGGCCCTTGAAATACGAGGAGAAGGATATCATGGGCAAACTGACGAAGCGAGATTACAAAACCACTCCGAAATTTACGGATATTTCATGGAACTCCGATGTGTCATAGTATTAATAGTAACAATGTTCTCCAGTACTTCACATGAATTATCTGAAAACTCCAAGAGTAAGGCAAATATACATTCGATAAAAAATAAAATACTTGAAATCAATTTACCATCACAAGAGATGTTTTCATTAATGAAATTTAATGAGGAGCTGATGGAAGATAAGAAAGAAAGGGAAAACGAAAAAAACGAAAAGGGAATGGAAATAATGGAGATAGAGCACATGGAGGAAGGGGAAGATACAATGGGATTAAAAGAAGTTTCATATAATCCATCGATAAAATGATCGGAAAAAAGGGCGATAGAAGAAACATATGTCCAAAAAGAGCAAATACTGAAAGGATAATCTATAGCTGCTAATCTATAGCTGCAACAATGGCTGCAAAGCCTGTCACAATGATTCAATCGAACTATTATTATCATATTATTAATATTTTTCCCGCTTTCGAAGAAGCTAAAAAGAGAAATAGTACATACAAATGTGTACCAACCGTTTGCGGCCTCAGCGGTCAATTGGCCAAAACTTTAGAAAATAAAGACTGCAATGGCCTTATAAAATGTGTCTGCATGATAAATGCACACCTGATTTATCAAATCTTAATTGATGAGGTAATAAAATGGTATAAAAAGATAAAACATGAATTATATTGTAACGACAAGGTCGTCACTCATACTGTAAATATTGTAAATATGTTAAATATGTTTAAAATATCAAAAGAAAAGAACAATGAATACCATGTTTTAAAAGCGTATGGCCTTCGGTGTTCCCTGAATTAAAAGACATTTTAAAGCGGAAATTGGAGGCCAAATTGGAAATAACATTATCCAATAAGAAACAAAATAAAAAAAGTTGGAAGTAAGGTTTTACTTCAAAAATTACTTCCATAATAAAATGGAAGAATTATTTCTGTTGTGCCTCTAACCGCTAAGGAAGAGGTCTTTTGGGATTTATACGCCCAAAGGATTAGGATCCACTCTCGAAATAAGACACTCCTGAACGTTAGGTATAAATTGATATATTTCACAGATTCTTGTATACTATCACTTATTCGCGATTATAATAGTCGGGCGCGATACGTACGGTACTTCGATACTATTGGTATATGCGAGCGAGTAGCGAGCGTCGATGCATCTCGCGTTTATTATATATCTTAATCAATTAGGTCGTTGATTAGGGAGGAGTGTGGTGTCCCTGACCGGAGCATGTCTCGTGCTCCGCTCGTCAGATGTCTCGTCAACTGCTTACTCAGCTTCCGAGAACTTGACCGTGACTTCCTTCTCTTTAGTCACGTATCTTTACTTTATTACTTTAATAATCTTTTATTACTTTTATTCTTTCTTAATTACTTTTCCTTGAGGTTTTTCCCTGATTCTAATGCTTTGCTTTAGTCAGCTCTTTCTCAATCTTTTCTGTTCTACTTTACTTGTTTTATCTTTTAATATTAAGAAATCGGTCGGGTTACGACATTTCATTATGAATTCAATAATAATTTGTGGCAGATTATTATTTATGAAGCAGAAAATACTGATAACCAAAAAATTGCGAAGATCTTAAAAGACCTAGAAGACCAAAATAAAAAAAAGCAGAGTTTTTCTAGAAAGTAATAAAGAATCAGAAGAATGCCAGCAAGATTTTCCGCACTCAATAAGACATATGCCTATTAAAAATATCAACAATATATTAAAATGTTCACCAATACCATTGTTACGTCCGGTGGACTCCACGATTCTTTTCTTTCACGTAATATTAAACGCCTACGCTCTGGAACTCTTTGCACTTAGCATAAACAATAAACTAAAAGAATATCTAGCAGGCGAGACTAATATTTCAGAATCTAAACCATGCGTGATAAATATTCGAACAAAGGTCCCCTAGAAGACCAAGAATTTTAAACAGCAACTAAAAGATACTCGAACCATGAGAAGGCTCGAAATCTAAACAGTGCGCATTTAACTGATACGGAAAGAATCACTGTATTGATGATGAGGGTATGGCGACAAAATAAGGTCTTATCGAGAAGTAGCGGATTTATTCAATGCCACATATCCTGACCGTGAACCAATTTCAAAGTCATGGATCTGTTGTTCTGACGAAGCAACATTTGAAATAAACGGTTCTGTAAATCGACAACTTTAATAATCCCCAATAATAAATTTATCTTCCTGCAATCACTTGAACATTCCTAGTATCAATATTAGACAAATTTAGATTTTGCTTAGAACCTATATTGCTGTTGTCACTCGGACGGGGTCCAACCTTTAAAACCCGGTTGCTGTGGGTTTATTGCTCCGGTGACACTCTACCCTTTCTCCCGAATTTCCATCGTTATCGAGCATCTAAGTATGCCCTTGATCGACACTTTCCCATACCTCCCAGTAAACGCTAGATATTGGGTGATGAAATATTCCATCCGTATTCCAACAGTTCAGTATATACCGAAATAATAGAGAAATGTTCACAGAACGTTCAAATAATCGTGAAATATTCAGAATATTCTATGAACACTACTTGTATGAGCAATAAGGAATATTCAGTGTACATTTTGATATATGTATGGAACATACACAAAATATTCCATAGAATATTAATGGAACCCTCTTGGATCAATCTTATCGGACATTAATGAAAACCGACGTACGCACGCATCTCATTACCTGCGCGCGCAGCGACTACGTCTGTGATTGGTATATATGCTCAGTGCATGCTTTGAGGACACCACGTAAAAACCTATGTTTATGCAAATTAACATTAAGAAATCGGATTCTTAGTAAGACTCGTACTATGTAAACGATTTGACGACCACAAGAATGTTATAATATACCTTTTTACGAAATTTATAAAATGATCAAATTTTGAACTTACGTATTTTTATTTAAATAAGTATTATATATTTAGCTTCAATATTGAGAAACGTCTAGGCGATACACGAAATTTAAACAGCGTCCTCTTAGGAAATTATTAACAGACCATATATATATAGAGAATATTTTATTCAATGCTAAGCGTTATAAGAGTCTTAGACTGTGCACGGAGATGCAAGTCCGCCGTCGATCGATAATCTTATCCGCCCGCCCGATAAGATAACTGAGGAATGCAGGCAGTCGTCATCCCGAAGACCAAGGAAGATGATGAAACGCGAAGTCGCTCAACGGATGAGGCAACGCTATGGCTATCCTTCTCTTGCATCAGGGAACCCCCGAGTAACGTCAAGCTCCATACCAACGGGCTCCCACTTGCCGTAGTCCCGCCCACGGTCATCCCACCGGCACCGAAGACCGAAGCTAAAGCCATAGACATAGTATATCTAAACCGAGCGTTTGCCTTTATTTAAGGAGTAGGGGCCGATGCCCACGTAGAAAAGGACATACTCTGTTTCGTGCCCCTTTCTTGCATCAGGGAACCCCCGAGTGACGTCGAGCTCCCTACCAACGGGCTCCCACTTGCCGTAGTCCCGCCCACGGCCATCCCACCGGCACCGAAGACCGAAGCTAAAGCCTAGGGCCCTATCCCACCAAGCAGAGGAAGACGCTCCCACTGCAGCATCTCCCCACCGACACCTGAAGACCGGAGGAGCTCAGTGAGAACCGAACATCCGACATTACTTTTTCAAACGTCGAACAGTTGACACATCTTACTTTTGAAGCTCTGAATCCGTATACTACTCTGACAGTCAATCTCATAAGACATAAAGTAATCCGGCGCCCGCGTCGTCAAACTCTCGCATAGTCTTTAAGACTTTAATAAAGATTCTTACATTGTATCACAAGTATACCAGGCGTTAGTCTAACGTCCTGTAATAATAAACATTCAATTATTCAATAACTAGTGTTACTTATTTTAATGCATAGTACCAACTACTACTACCATTACCATAAGCGCATACGTATTATTCCCGGAGAATCATAATCGAGGAGGATCCAGCATATTAATCTTTCTTTAAACATATATAACCATTTAATGGTAAGTGAAAATATTATTCCTACATAATTACTGACAGGTTATTAGTCTTATGGTCCCCGGTAGACCCGGTGAATTGCAGGGTGACCGAAAAAGAATAAAATATTACATCTATAAAAGAGAATAAATACTGAGAATAATTAACACACTATATTCCTACCTCAATACAGATCTTAGATCTTTTTACTATTATTATTATTATTATGTTCACGCTCTCTTAAGTCACTTGAAGATAGTAATTCGTTTCCAGAATACTTATCTTTTCTTCTTTCTTTTTTTTTTATTAACTTCGAACACTGGGACGTGACATAAATTTTTGGTGGCAGCGGTAGGATTGCATAAGCCTACCTGTCAATTAATTGTGTTTAACCATTTTCTTTCAGAAATTGTGTTGTGCGCGATTCTTAATTTAGAATTTGAGCTCCAATTTGAAATCATTTCCGTTCTTTTAATAAATTTTTGAATTACGCGAGTGAATACATTTATTTAAATTATTCGAGATATTCAATTATTTTGAGTGTGCGTGCTTGCCTTTTGGCGTGAGGCGAATCTCAAGCGACGGTTTCGAGCGGATAAACCGCTCATTGTTGCTGAAGATTTTGTGCATTCGATAGACGTGATGAGGGCTGTGAGAGGCGACCCCGCTCGCCCTTGCTGCTTGTTCTCTCTTCTTAGTGAGGCGACTTTGATCGTACGTATTAAAATTAAGTTCTATATTATTACATATTATTCATATTATTGCTATATCAGATAAACTGAGCCGTACAAATATTCTAAAATCATCAGTAATTCCATTGTACATGCAAAATAAAACGTCACCTCCGATCTTGACGAAACTTGGGCGCCAAGCGTTTCAAGCAAAGATACGATTTCGGCCGCCATTTTGTTTTTTCATATACGTGAGATTTTTGAGTTGAAACTACTCTAGATAATTTTTAAACATCAAAAATAAGGTCCACACAAAATTTTAGACAAATCGCAGAGATCGAAAAATCCGCCATTTTGTTTTTAACGGTTTGTCCTAGAGTGACGGAAGTGAACTCTTTCGACGCAGGGAGAGTGATAAAGCATTACTGCTAAAATTCAGCTTGATTAGAATAGGCATATTCATTTAAAAGGAAAAATAAAAATAAAAAATTTCGCTATTTTGTTTTTAATGCCTCATCGGAGAGGATCGAGACTGATTTTGTTTAACTCGGCTAAGAGAGGAGAATACATGATATAACTCCCGTTAGCCTAAACCTATAATTTAAATAAATAATAATTCTAATTTTTCTTATTCCTAGATATAGAATCTTGAGATTTTACATACGTATAATAGGGACCATAGTATACGTCCCCATCAAGTTTTGAATAATATTAAATAATAATTAATAAATAATTACAGTTGTACTAAGTACGACCTACCATATCACTATCTTATTTTATGACACCACGAGTGCCTAGAGATTCTGAATTTCCAGTTATTATACCATCAGACCCACCCGCGGAACAAATATTTTATTGCCAGAAAGGCATCGGATACATTCACTGTACGGAAAAAACCGTCATCTGTAGAAATTGTTACCAAACTTTACCGTGCATGGAAAAAATATCTTGGCTTAAGATTTCTAAGCACACCCTTACCATAGAAGGAATCATTGTTGGAATAAATTGTGAACAGTGCGAAGCACAACTAACTACAATTTAAAGATAGATTAAGCTTAAAGGGTATCACTAAAAAGCCAATTAAGGCGTTAGGGTCAGCCACTTTCGAGATTATGGGAAAAAGGACGAAATTCTATGTTGTCAGAGACGACCTCGGCATACCTGCCGATGGCATAATAGGTGCCGAATTTTTCAATCAAAATAATGCTATTGTTGCGTCCCTGCGGGTCGTCTAAGGCGGTTATTCATGAATCTGCTGTATTCGTCGCACAACTAACTACAATCAGATTGGGTTTCAACTGTGTCGAGTGCACAGAGAAGTACGATTTATATTTAATCAACCCAGAATTAGTCCAGGCTCGATATAACCAAAACCAAACGATAACCATTACGTGCACATCGACATATACGCGGTAGACGTATACGAATAGAAAAAAAGCAAAGCAGCAAATTCGGTAACCATGGCTTACTCCACGAAATCCCACAATTCCGCGAGCTTAGATTCAGAAAGCAAAAAGAAACAAAAATATATAGAAGACCGCGAAAAATTATCGCAACCTAAAACATCTCAGAAAGAACGCGATGTGACAGCCAAACGCGCCAGCGAGTCCATCGATGCAAATTCTTTATTTCACGTTTTGTCACAAATCCAATCAGAATTGTCGCGGTTACGTAGATTACCGGAACAAGTGAACAACTTAGAACAAAGAATGAACGAAGCTTCTCGCGCCGCGTCCGCATACGATGAATGCGCCGACCTGCCGGAACAGGAAGAACCCCCCGTAATCATGCCAACCCTAAAATTAAAAGACGTAGTTGCAAACATTCCCCCGTTTAACGGATATCGAATTTCTATTTTTCAATTCGCCCGAGCATGTGAACGTGCTCGTGATCTATTACCATCAGTGCAGGAATCGCAGCTGGTACAATTCATTATAAATAAAATTGAAGGAGATGCATATCAAGTAATAGAAGGTAACGTGTACACACGCGTTGTAGATTTATTGGACAAATTAAAAAACATTTTCGCCCCTAACAAATCCGTAGCACAATACCGCGGACAATTGGCCAACGCGTATAAGTTGCCAAATGAAACCATCCTAAGATATGCAGGCAGAATCAAAGATTTGAAATTCGCCATATTAGATGGACATCGACGTCAGGGTACGAATAACCCACGCGGATTTAATAATGAAGTCGAGGGAGAAGTCCTCGAGGCATTCATCAATGGACTACCATCAAACGTAATCACACGCATGGAGTACCGAAATATAACTACCTTAGATCAGGCCATCGAATGGGCCGTTAAGATTTCAAAAAATTTAGAAGTTGAGAAACAGCGCGAACGCCAAAATACCCCGCGAATCTTTCCTACGATGCGCAGACATAGACAATATTAAACCTCCTAAATTGGAACACCACTTTCGAGATTATGGGAAAAAGGACGAAATTCTATGTTGTCAGAGACGACCTCGGCATACCTGCCGATGGCATAATAGGTGCCGAATTTTTAAATCAAAATAATGCTATTATCGACTATAATCAAGGTTGCTTGGCATTTGGAGACATTCAGGTACCTTCCTTTAAAAAGGAAAGAGTACTAGTACCGTCACGAACCGTCGTAACGGTATCCTTTAATATTACGAACCCAGAAAGAAAAGAGGGTTACGTTCCTCAAAATGAGCCAATAAAAGGGTTGCTTCTTGGCAAAGCCTTAGTCAAAAATTCCCGAGGGAAGGAGCACATGAAAGCTTATAATTTGATTGAGCGCGATTACACGGTGGAAGTCTACCCTTTGCCGCTCTTCGAATATTCAATACCAGATGACTCCGAGGAGCATCTAGGTCCGCTAAACAATTGGCCAACGCGTATAAGTTGCCAAATGAAACCATCCTAAGATATGCAGGCAGAATCAAAGATTTGAAATTCGCCATATTAGATGGACATCGACGTCAGGGTACGAATAACCCACGCGGATTTAATAATGAAGTCGAGGGAGAAGTCCTCGAGGCATTCATCAATGGACTACCATCAAACGTAATCACACGCATGGAGTACCGAAATATAACTACCTTAGATCAGGCCATCGAATGGGCCGTTAAGATTTCAAAAAATTTAGAAGTTGAGAAACAGCGCGAACGCCAAAATACTCCGCGAATCTTTCCTACGATGCGCAGACATAGACAATATTAAACCTCCTAAATTGGAACAACTGAAATCTATTCTAAAAAACACAAATAACACTTCCGCACCGCGACCTTGGATCAGACTCCTAGTACCGGGTCAACCAGGACCAAATTCCCCTGGTATTTGTAACTACTGCAAGGCCCCGGGGCATAGAGTAGCCGAGTGTCGAAAACTAGCCTACAGAAACGCTATGCAGGCGTCGGGAAACGCGGAGGGCCGCCCGACGCTAAGCGCGACCAGGGAACCGGCCCAGGCGACCGCGCACCCCATCACAGTGCAGACCGAGCCGACCACCGCAGAAACTTGAAAGATTTTAATAACAAAGAAGAAGGCTCGAGTTTTTCAAAGATTTTGCTAGAAAATTCTAATGACCCGGCGCTGGTCGCCCAACTAACTAAATCAATATTAGACGATTCGAATGCCACTATCGGAGTTGCAAATTTAGGCCCGATAGGCTCAAACGCCAAAATACTCCGCGAATTTTTCCCACAATGCGTTCAGACGTAAATAATATTAAACCTCCTGAGATAGAACGGCCAAGATCCATTTTGAAAAATCCGAACCCGAATAACACTCCTGCGCCGCGACCATGGATTAGACCCTTGATACCGGGCCAGCCAGGACCGAATTCAAGCAAGCTCCCAGGACATAGAGTAGCCGAGTGCCGAAAATTAGCATAAAAAGATAAAACTTTCATATGGACGTCGTTACAGGAAACAGCATTTAGCAAACTGACACATGAACTATTAAAAGAACCCGTTTTACAATATCCAAACTTTAAAGAAGCATTCCTACTGACTACAGACGCCAGTGGATATGCTATAGGAGGCGTACTGAGTCAAGGGCAGGTACGGAAAGACTTACCCATCTCATATATTTCCAGAACTTTGAACGAGGCAGAAGGAAGATATTCAACTATAGAAAAGGAGTGCCTAGCCGTCGTCTACTGCGTGACCTACTTCAGGCATTATCTATACGGCAGGAAGTTTACAATCCTTACAGATCATAAGCCGTTAGTCTGGCTGCATTCGATCAAGGATTCCAGCTCCAGGTTATGGAAATGGAGGTTAAAACTTTCAGAATACGAATATAAAATACAATACAAAACAGGAAAAACTAACGTAGTAGCAGACGCACTTTCTAGAAACCCACCTATTCCTGGCGCTTCCATACTCTCCTTGACAAAATCTGATGACGATTCGAATGAATCCCTTTTCTCATATCGGACAGCTACGCAACACTCTAGACCTTCCATTACCTTTTCTTCTAATGATGATAATCGCACATTAAACCTTGACCACCAACGGCAAATAATGATCGACGACTTAAATGAGAACGCTTTACTAACTCCACCGGCAACCACAAGAGTCCCATCCCAATTTTACTTCCCCAACACCGAAAGCCTAAACGAAAATCTAGATGAACAAGCGCAGGAACTTGATCAAAGCGATCCAGAAACATCAGAAGAAAACACGGGAAACGAAAGTGAGGATAACGTATCCGCCTCTCCACAACCCCGCTCTTCAGGCGAAGAAAATGACTTTAAAATCTCCTTGACAAAATCTGATGACGATTCGAATGAATCCCTTTTCTCATATCGGACAGCTACGCAACACTCTAGACCTTCCATTACCTTTTCTTCTAATGATGATAATCGCACATTAAACCTTGACCACCAACGGCAAATAATGATCGACGACTTAAATGAGAACGCTTTACTAACTCCACCGGCAACCACAAGAGTCCCATCCCAATTTTACTTCCCCAACACTGAAAGCCTAAACGAAAATCTAGATGAACAAGCGCAGGAACTTGATCAAAGCGATCCAGAAACATCAGAAGAAAACACGGGAAACGAAAGTGAGGATAACGTATCCGCCTCTCCACAACCCCGCTCTTCAGGCGAAGAAAATGACTTTAAAATCAATGAAACGCGAGACTCACTGCTCTCCCGAAAAGACAACCATATCATCTTCACCACACTCGGGGGACATCCCTACGATAAAGGCGCAAAAGATTATTCAGCCGAAAATAAACTCCCTACGTATAAAGACTTAACTTTCACAAGAGTAAGAATAACCAACCTCAATAGCGGTAAATATTTAATAAACATCCCCATTAAACAAAATGAAACAATACAGATAGAACGAAACGATATTATAGAAGGGTTAAGATCACTAAGAGATGCCATAACCGAATTAAATTTAAGAACCATTAGTATAGCGCAAAACGATCTGTACGATATGATTCCATGGATTTTTGTGTATAAGAATCTAAAAAGATTTCTTTCAGACTTACCAATAATTATAACAGTCTGCAAGTCATTAATAAGATGCCCCGGTATAACAGAAAGAACAAACATTATCTATGAGAAGCATGCCACAAAAATCGGAGGACACAAAGGCGTGAATAAAACCTATCACCGAATTAGGCAAAACTAAAATTGTGCAAAGGCACCCATTACGTAGATCCGGGTTGAAGGAAAGCGAGAAAAAGACAAACTTTTGCCAACGCGGCCCGGACCCCTGGATCTGGTAATACTAATTACAAATATTTCATTTTGTTTGCTTTAGTACAAACGTTCACACACTCACGTTTACACATCCTGTAATATAAAACAACACGAACAAACATATTATCTGCGACTTTATATTTTATTATATTATATTTCTTTTAAGGGCTACCGAACGCTATTATTCTTGTCAACTATTGCAACAGCACTCTCTGGCACTCAAGCCATTATCGCATACGATTGCAGAGGGGCCTACCTAAATGTAACCACCGTATCATTACGATCCGGCGAATGCGATCTAGATGTCGAAACACCTATAACAACTAGCACGTACATACAGTTATTACAATTGTCGAACTACGCACAAACCCACATCGTCCAGTGCAAAATAGAAATTTTGAGAGCAATATACCATTGTGGAATGCATTCCCACATTTCGGCTGTCCACAATGGATACGCTAAATACTTGCAAGAAACTTCTCGCGCTAGATGCATTCAGATGCATAAAGAAGGCCTTTTAAAAATAGGAACCGCGGAGATAATAGACGGTCTTAAGTCGAATTGCAGATAGTATCTTATTACAGAAGCGTTACGCTCGCGGGGAAGGTAAATGTAGATGGCACATGTAAAGGTATTCAATATTAGGACTTTTATGGGACGTGGGATGACGTAATAGTCCAAGCAACCGTCAAAATTTCGCTTAGAGATTCATACGTACCAGTCAGGCTAAACGCAGGGAAGATAATGCTAAAGTCAGGTACAGTCTGTGATTTAGCAGAAGAGTCTTGCGTAGACTCGGACGATGGATACACGTTCTGGGAAGGGATATCAAACACCGCTTGCGGGTTCGAGTCATATGACGTTTTGTACGAGGGCACATCCACCAAATTCATAGGCCTCCTGAACTCTCAAAACACAACCATCTTTACACTAGAATCACAGGACACAACATTCGCGCTAACACTTACACGCAGACATATTATCTATGGGTATACACTAAGATCCAGAATTACAGTAATCAATCTGGACTTGTTCACATACGCAAACTCGAAGTTCGTGTATGTTGAGAAGTATATGAGAAGCTAGATTACTTCTCTATACAGAGACATTATTACGCAAAAATGCGAATTGGAAAAACAGGTGATACAAAATACGTTATCTCTGGCTGCAATACAACCTGACGAATTCGCCTACCGAATGATGAAATCGCCAAGATATATGGTGGTGACATCAGGAGAGGGGATTCATATTATTAAATGTGTGCCTATAGAAGTTACCTTATGTAAAACAAACACTTGTCACACAGAACTACCCGTAACATTTAGAAACACATCTTTATTCATGACCCCTAAATCACATATCGTGATAAGACACGTTAAGAGATTGCAATCCGCTATTCCCAATCCTGTATAATATAGAAGGAACATGGCTTCAATTCAATCCGACTCCATCCATGGTAAATCCTCTCCATGAAATAAAGTCCCTCACAAAACTATCATAGAAGTATTTAACGCCTAAATCACTGGCTACTAGCGGTATTTATTCTCAACAAGATTTAGACGATTTAAGGGATCACATAATGTTCCCCACGAAGAAAAGCGCTGTCCTACATACCATCGCCCGAGGCTTCACGAGGCAAGCCATACAATCCGATACTGTCTCCCTACAAAATTTACTGGACGAAAATTCGTTAAATAAAATTTATAATAATATCTTAGCAAAAATATGGAACGGTTTCACGACCTTCGGCGCAGCTACTGCTGGTATCTTTGGCATATTCATTATCATAAGAATTGTAAAAATTATTTTTGACGCTTTAATACACGGATATGCGTTACATGCGGCATACGGTTGCAGTTTACATTTACTCGGAGCCATATGGAGCTCCTTCACACACTTATTGTTATATTTAGCTAATAGATCACAACCACAACCTCAACCAGATGTAATTCCACAAAACCCACCAGAACAAACCAATGTAAAAATCGCACCTAACGCACCAGCCGACGACACATACCCAATACCGATCGTTTATACATTCCATGACATGCGTGCCAGATTGGACAAATTTCTCCATAAAATTTTCCATAAAAGATCAATTGCCCGAAGAACATCTAAGTATAGATGAATATACTAGATATTTAGATTCGTAACTAACCAGCTTAAAATCATAACGAGATGTTCAATTAATCTTTTCGGATAATGAAATCTTTATGTACTGACGAAGAAGTTCAAGCCATAGTAAACCGAGAGCGCGAACAAATCCTGACATTAATCATTAGACTCATTTGTGATTTTTTAGACGGTAATTTAGATATAGATCAACTAATTGCCCTCCTAGAAAATATAGAAGATCCTTGAATTCTATATACCTATTTGCGCATGCGTACGTTTCTAACCATAACACATCTAGTAAAGCCCTAGCGAGGACTAATTCCGGTGCCTTACGTCATTCTCCTAAATCCACTAGTTTAGTCCTAGCTCTCGGCGCATCCCAAGGATATAGCCGGTGGAAGCAGGTTGCCCTATAAAATTAAAAAGCTATCCTTTTCTTACTAACTAAGATATAGTATATAATTATATACGTAATTATATAATAAAACATATACGATATAATATATTATATATAAGATAAATATTTATATTTATTTCAGAGAATATCTGTTTTACACACACATCTGTTTTATAATATTATACTATTAATATAATTTAATATATTTTTGCAGCAAGTACTTGGAGATACAATAATCGTCTCACAGCCAACTGTCTCAAGAATAGTTTGATAGTTTTCATAATCTTGACCAAGATGATCTTAAGTATTGTCTTGAGCTTGGACTATGAATACCGCCCTTAGACTGCCACAGTAGAGAGTATTGTTTTTAATCCGAGCGCTTAAGGCTAATAACGCGATAATAAACGTAGTGTTTTATATTTATAAAATCTGTGTCCGATCTTCATACCTTTCACAGCAAAATCCATCCACGCCTATCCTGACAATGGATTTCCGGCGATTTACAGGCAAATAACCTGTCGATCCGCCGTTCACTTCTTTCAGCTCAGAAGTGGGATACAGATTTTCGTGTGAACCACGGTATTCGATTCTATCAGCCTTCGTGGAAAAGACATTGTGATTTTCTTTCGTGTGAAAATCGCGTTTTTCTGTTATAAACGCATCACCCTTTGTTTATGGGTATTGCGTCATATAGCGAACGACTTTCTCCAATTGTGGACCTTTTGGTGAACTTATACGTGTAGACACACTGTTTTTAAAATTCTCGGTGATCATGTCTAGGGTTTACGATACTCCAAGGTATGAGGACCAGATTTAAATAAGGTGTGGCTACATCTGGAGATCGCGGGGTTACATTTGGACACGAGAAATCTGCTTAACAGATTTGGAAATTTAAGAGTATTAAATAAAACATTGGATCTTGTAAAGCACGAGTTATAAGAGTTGGATTTGATAGATGCAGACGAAATTAATTGTAAAACACCGGATCATATTGATGATACAGATCTATTTGCTCAGTATTATGTTGGAGACGCAGTTACCAGGGGAGGAGGAATCAACTTGTCAAAAACTGTGGCTTCTGGCGGGGCTCTGGAGAAAATTTTATCATCGACAGGATCTAAGCCAGTGTGGTGTGATTATGATGCTTCCATACGAATCACACATGGTTATCTCAAAGAGAAATATCGGGGTAATCTTTCGGACAAGGATCGTAAAATCATTAACCATTCGTCCATAGTGGCAAAAGATATGTGTGTTTTACGGCTTGCAGCATGCCGTATGGGCTCTACAGTAACTGATGTCATCAAAGGCCACATTACAACACCAGCAGAAGCAGGAGGATCCTGGGGGATAGCCTGGAACCGAGGAATGGTGAGGTCGAAAAGTTTTACACCTGAGGTGATACGGTCCCACGACCAGTTTGACTTTTCATCAATGGATCAGGTCCACCAAGTATCAAAAATGTGGGAAAGATTCTACAGGTATGCGGCTAACTATCGTCTCACAGGCAATGGAGCATGTGTTAGAGAGGTCAACTGTAACATCATTGATTCTCTCAAAGGTTGGATCATTACAGCACTTGAGAGTACTAACTTTACAGATAAGTTAGCAAGAAAGTACTTGTGCGTGCCGAGAGTATCGCTGCTTCGCAGGAGTGCGAAGGTTCTGCTTCTATATATATCGTTTCTCGCGAACGGCAGTAACCGTTGTTGTACATCTACGTCAGTTCGGTTTTTGAGTGGCAAGTCAGTGACGATTTTTACGCATTTGCGGCACTATCGCCATAAAGTCAGTGCTGTTCTGCGCATTTTATAAGGGTGCGCGTAAAATAAATTTTCTCATCTACCCGGCATCGAAAGGTCACGTGGTTTCGAGTGCCGTTAAGTAAACAGTGGGTCTGTTCTTTATAGCTGAACTGGCTGCACTATTTCAGAGTTTATCTTTTTCTCTCTCCATTGGAAGGAGAAAGATAAGCTCTGAACTAGTGCAGCCAGTTCAGCTATAAAGAACAGACTTAAAGTTCGTGGCGCGAAAGTTAGTCCGCCATATTGACTTTGTTCGTGGCGCTGGACTCGTTCGCGGCAGTGGCGCGCAAGACATTCCGCCCAGATTGAACTAAATCGTGGCGCGAAAATTTTCTTAAGTGCGCGAGTGCGTTGTATCGTTTCACATTCATCTCTCAAGATGTTGCCACAAGAACGTCTCGTTTCGTTAACTCTGGAAGAGTTGCAAGAGGAATGTCGTGTCTATGGAATTTCTAATATTCCTGACGACCTAGTGGCTTGCAGAAAAGTTCTCTTGCATCATTTAAAGGAATTCGGCCCGCTGGACGGAATTCAGCGTTCTCTGCCTCAAGAAGCTGTATAATTTAAAATTATGTTACAGAATTGTTATGTTGCGTTCTATCATCTTTGGGACGGTTCTAACTTAGAGTAGTAAAGAACGTCTTGACAGCAGAGACAGAAGCTCTTTTTTACACTACATTGTGAAAGGAAAAAGATAAACTCTGAATTAATGCAACCAGTTCAGTTATAAAGAACAGACCTTTTTGTTTCGGGAATGTACTTATTGCAGTGCGCATCTTTAAAACCTTTTATAATATAGGTATAAATTATAGAAAATAAATTGTCATAACATATATCAGCAAAATGAAAAGTCCGGGGCTATTCCAAAATAAGAAATGTATCAGAATGCAATTTTAAATGTGCGTATGTCTATAATCTATAAAAACATATATTTTGCACTAATTTTGTTATTTTTTATTTTTATTAATTTTTGTATAATAAATTGAAGCATTATAAAGAGCAAAATTTTAATCACAATAAAAAATTAGTATTACGGATACAAAACGATTTTCAGATCATGGAATGTGATAAAAAAAACAACAGGCTATATTCGGATAGGCATATTCGTCGTCTAGTCAAAAAAAGAACTACTTTCGATTTGAACAGAATTTGTGGTGAATAATTAACGGTCTCGGAAAGAGAACTTTGTAAGAAAGTTTGCAATAGTAACGAAGAACAAGTAGATGTTGCACAGATTTCAGGAATAACAATTTGTGTCCGTGAAAAATTTCCTTCCGCTTGTAGTTCGAATCAATTACTTATTCCGTCAATAGACGGTTGCGTCGATGATGTAAATACTATATGTGATGAATGTTTGTGTATTTCACCAAGCAGTAATGAATCTTTGAGCGAAGATGAACAATCTGATATTGAGAAATTACATAGCGATAGATTCGTGACAAACATTATCACATGGGTAAAAGAATGTAAACCTCCAGGAAAGTCAGTCAATTCACTTCTGCAAATTTTAAGAAAATATACAAATGCGGCTTTTCCGAAAGATCGTAGGACTCTTCTTAAAACTCCTACATATACAGAAGTAAATCTTATTGACAAAGGCCAATATTTGAATTACGGATTAGAAAAAGCAATTATACGTCTGTTAATGAATTGCGCGCAAACAGATTATTCAGAAAATAGAAACATTAATCTTTTGATAAACATTGATGGGGCTATATTGGGAAAATGTACAGAAAAAAGTATGTGACCAATTTTGTGCTCTGATACTGTTTCGAAAAATGTAACTATAGTCGGTATATTTTACGGAGAAGGAAAACCTGGCAATTGTAATGCATTTCTCGATAAGTTTGTACACGAAGCAATTGACTTAATTAATAATGGTATTCTTTTTAATAATTATCGTTACAATGTTAGATTGAAAACACTAATATGTGATGCACCTGCTAAAGCATATGTCTTGCAAGTAAAAAATCATACCGGGTTTAATAGCTGCACAAAATGCGTTATCGAAGGCGAATTTATCGACAATAGAGTGACTTTTCGAAAAGGTGCAAATAAAATCTTAAGAACAAATGAACTGTTTAGAAATTACGCCTATAATTTGATTACCAATTGGGTGAAACTATTCTTACACAAATTCCACATTTTGATTTTGTTAGAAATGTTCCACTCGATTACATGCATTTGGTATGTTTAGAAATAATGAGAAAATTATTACTTTTGTGGCTAATGGACCACTTATTGCCAGGCTCACCGCGAATGATGTAAACAAGATATCTGATGCATTAATCGAATTAAGGAAAATTATACCATGTGATTTCAATAGAAAACCAAGAACGCTAAAATATATGAAATTGTGGAAAGCAACAGAATTACGCCTTTTTCTTTTATATTTAGGACCGGTAGTTTTGAAAAATATATTACAAAAAAAATTGTATGACACTTTTTATTTTTACATATTGCAATCACAATTTTAGCAAATCCTACTTTTTCTTCCGACCCTTCAAATATCACGTACGCAGAAGATCTGCTCCGGCATTTTGTCGAACAATTTGAGATGCTTTATGGAGTGTAATACATTAGCCACAATGTGCATAATTTATTGCATCTTGCAGCAGATGTTAGGCAACATGGACCACTACATAATTTTAGTGCTTTCCGTTTTGAAAATTACATTGGTATATTAATGAAATATGTTAGGAAAGGTGAAAAACCTTTGCAACAAATAACATGGCGGATTCCTTTAGATGTACATTTCAACATCTTGTATGTAAAACAATATAAAATTATGCGTACTAGCAATTTTTTCATTAATTGTGATGATAACAAAAATAGATGCTGTTTATTGAAAGATGGAACAATTATTGAATCAATTAATTTTATTAAACATCGAAATATATCATACATTGTTGGGAGACAGTTACTTTCTTGTGATATTCTATATTCAGTTCCGACTAATTCTTCAGATATTGGAGTCGTAATAGTCGAAAGAAAGCATGAAATTAGATCGTGGCCATGTTGTAATGTAAAACTTAAAATTATGAAAATACCATATAATGTTAATAAATTTATCGTTTTCCCTATTCTTCATACTAATATTTAAAAAAGAATGTGTTGCACACAGAGATATGTAACAAAAAATGTAGTGAAAGTACAAATTTATCTATCTTTGCGTCGCTAAAGATGGCTCAAAGTAGAGCCGAAACGTACGATTTTTTAGTTGTATCAATCATTAATCAATTAA